TGCCTGCAGGTCCCTAACCATATGATTGGCCCTCCTCTGAACCCTCTTGAGGTTGTCTACATCCCTCTTAAAGTGTGGCACCTAAAACTAGACACAGTACTCCAACTGTGGCCTGATCAATGCCGCATTAAAGGGAAGTATCACCGCCTTGGACCTGTTTGTCTTGCACCTGCTAAAGCATGATAAAGCGCGGTTAGCTTTACTGATCAGTTCGTCACATTGATGAGTCACGTTCATCTTGGAGTCAACTATGACTCCAAGATCCCTTTCTGCAGCTGTGCTGCTGAGCAGGTCATCCCCCAGCCTGTAAGTATGCTGGTGATTCCTTCTTCCTAGGTGCAGCACCTTGCATTTGTCCTTATTGAACTGCATGCTATTCTGTTCCACCCATTTTCCATAGTTTCATAGTTTCCCAACCTGTCCAGATCCACCTGGATTTGTTTCCTACCCTCTGGTGTGTTAACTTTGCTCCCTAATCTGGTATCATCTGTGAATCTGGACAGAGTGCTTTCAATGCCCTCATCCAAGTCACTGATGAAGACATTGAAGAGCACCGGTCCAAGGACCAAGTCTTGTGGGACTCCACTGCCCACATCTTTCCAGGTTGATAGCGACCCATCCACCACCACTCTCTGGGTGCAATCTCTAAGCCAATTTGCCACCCACCTGACTGTGTAATCATCTAGGTCACAATCACTCAGTTTATCTATGAGAACATAATGAGATACTGTATCAAAGGCCTTCTTAAAATCTAAGTAGATGACATCCACCTCAATTCCTGCCTCTAAACATTTTGTGACCTGGTCATAAAAAGAAACAGAGTTAGTCAGGCAGGATCTACCTGCTACAAATCCATGCTGGTTGCCCTTTACTATTGCTTTCCCCACTGGACTCCCACAAATGTGATTCTCGCCAACCTCATCACCAGAAACAAACTTCCTACGGCCCAAAGCACATTGAATGGATCCAGACCATGCCAGGACAAGAAATGTAAAACCTGCCAACACATTTCCACCACTCCCACAATAACAACACCCCACAACAGAGCCATCACCATTCCTGGATCTTATACCTGCACCTTCAGAAATGTATTATATTTCATCCAATGCACCAAATGCCCTGATGGAAAATATGTAGGAGAAACCAAACAACAACTGCACACCAGAATGAACACACGCCAAAAATCTATCAAAGACAAAAATACCCAGTCACCTGTGGGGGCACACGTCTCACAACATAACCACTCTTTTCAATCTCTCAGTTCTAATCCTAAAAGGGAATTTACAAAACACCTTTCACGCACCAGCCTACAAACTTCATTTTGTAAATCTACTGGATACAAAAAATCATGGACTAAATAGAGACATTGGATTTATGGCATATTATAACCTTACTAACATCTGATACCTCACGTAACCTCTCTACAGTTTACTAGCTGCATTCTTTCACCAGGGCACACCCCACCTCCCCCATCTATTGTCTACCACACATTTGCATTTTCACAGACCTACATTTTTGCATACTGGCTTCTGATCTACCCAGGAAAGCACCCAAACCAACAATAGACTCTCTCCGATGCCTGAAGAGAGGTGTTGGTGCCAAAAAGCTTGCAAAGAATAATTTTCACAACTACTTAGTTGGTCTAATAAAAGACATCACATCTACCTAAAGAACCTTGTCTGCTTATGTCCTTAGACCAGGGGTTTTCAACCTTTTTTGGTCAGTGTACCCCAGCAGCTGGTCCAGAAGCAGGGGCTCCCCCCACTGGCTGGTCAACAAGTCAGTGGGGTGGGTGGACTTGGGCTCGGGGGAGCGGTGCACGGTGGCAGCAGCACAAAGTGCTGGATGGTGGCAGAGGCACCACCCCGCATGCCACCACTTCCCAAGTACCCCTGATCCCTACCTTATACCAACATGGCTACAATCAACAACCCTCAATAAGGAACAAACATGTAACTGTAATGACTCTGGGATTAATAACAATATCCTTTGACTATTTTTTTGCCTGGTTTGTCACTTTTTAAAAAACATTATATATTAATGTAGCCAATTAGTGCACATTCCAAGAGTTGCATTTTTTTTTGCTCTGCTCTTGTAAGTTAAATAATATAGTGTTAGTATGCTCCCACTGTAGTTTCTTGTCTCTAACTGGATAAAAATGTGTTGCATGATACATGATACACCGCACCATCCATTGGTGATGTGTAAGGGGTACACGTAGGTGCACGTGCACCCTGAGATTGGTGGTGCACCTCCTGGGGCTGGCCACCACCACTGCTGCTGGTGCTGCCTGCTGGCAGTCGCCATCTCCCCTCAACACCAACACTGCCGGTATGTCTGCAGGTGGTTGCTGACTGCTGCCCTGTCCTCTGCCACCAACACGGCTGTGGCTGCCTGTGGGAGCCCCGCGCTGACTGCCGCCATGCCTCTGCGGCTGACACTGCCACTGTGGGCGGTCGCCGTGGCCCCCCAGCCTCCAGGGCCATCATTCATGGCACCATCTGCACCCTGCTATTCAAAATCCTAGATCCACCCAAGTTGGTATCTTTTACTGGCCCATCTGTGTAGCGAGACGATCCAGTGAGAGGAACTTTCCAATGCAAGATGCTCTTCCTCATTCCTGGGACATTGCTTTAACACTACTGTGCTAGAAAAACAGGGAACAAGCTCAGGCCTTTCACACAGCTTCTCGGGAGTAGGAGGAGGTAAAAGCAGAGTTTATCTGGGCTGGGCCAGTGGGAAAAAGAGCTCGGTGCTGTAATTAAATGAGCCACTCGGATGTCTTGCGCTTGGGGCAGTGCTTGTTCCCCGTTGCCTTGTGCATCCCTGACTAGCGGCCAGGCCTGGCCCGGCCTTCCTGCACGAAGCCGGGCAGGACAAGGGGCAGCCGGACACTGCGAGGGGGGAAGCCTTGCCGCGGCTAGCAGTGCCCCGCT